CCGGCCAGGCCTGCACGCCCCCGCGCCCGGAGACGCCGCAGCGCGGGCGGGCGGCCAGGGAGCCCTGACCTCCCCCGCTCTTAGGACGTGCACAAAACCAGACCCCCTGTCGCAAAGCGAGACCTCGTAGTAGAGGGGCAAGGAAACTGTCCTTCCCTGCAAGCTTTCGGGATCCAAGTCCCTTCGTCAGGCTCTGGGAAAAGCGCAGATGGTACAAGATGGTAAGAAGCCCCCATCGGTGGGAAATAAACCTCGTTTTTGCACAGAGGGAGCCGAAGAGGGAAGGCTATCTGCGAGTCTTGTGGTCTTGGTACGACAAGAACCTTGTCTGCCTGTGCCCTTAGACCAACACGGCTACAACCCACACCCGGTAGGGTCGTAGCACTGCACCCAGTTCTGGGCTCCCCGGTTCGAGGAGGAGAGTGCAGAGGAGCCAAGCTCATCATCAGAGGGCGGGAGAACAAGCCTTACAAAGAGAGACCGAGCGCCATGGGACTCTTCAGCCTGGAAAAGCAAGCGCAGGCTCGAGGGGGGGCATAGTGGCTGCCTATAAGTACATAAGGGGAGCACATCAGGATCTGGGGGAGCGCCTCAAGGGGTGACAAGGTCCAACAGTCACAAACTCCTCCATGACCATTTTAGGCTGGACATAAGGAAAAACTTTTTTACTGTCTGAGCCCCCAAGGCCTGGAATAGACTCCCTCCAGAGGTGGTGCAAACACCTACTCCGGACTCCTTGAAATGTTTGGATGCTTTTCTTGCTGGGATCCTTTGACCCCAGCTGACTTCCTGCCCCTGGGGCAGGGGCCTGGACTCAAGGATCTTCTGGGGTCCCTTCCAGCCCTAATATCTATGGAATCTATGAAGCCTCCAGGATGGAGACTCCACCACCTCTCTGCGGAGCCTGTTCCAGCACTTCATCATCCTCCTCGTGAGAGGTTTTCCTAATATAGAAAATGAGGATAGGCAGGGAACCCAGAAGGTCACCTCTTTGGGCAGCCTGTTCCAGTGCTTTACTACCCTTCAGTGAGACAGTTTTTCCTAGTATCATAAAAAATGAGGGTTGGAAGCGACTTAAGGAGGCACACCTAGTGCAACCCCTTGCTCCAAAAGCAGGACCAGTCCCAACTACATCATCCTAGCCAAGGCTTTGTCTAGCCTGGTCTTAAAAACCTCCAATGATGGAGACAGCACCACCTCTCTGGGGAGCCTGTTCCAGCGCTTCATCATCCGCGTGAGAGAGGTTTTCCTGGTATCTAACCTAAACGTCTTTGGCTGCAACTGCTTTCTCGGGCTGGAGGCACTTGTGCGCTCAGGATAGCGCCCTGGCCATGCAGGCCCCCCAAAGCGTTTTGGGCAAGACACCCAAAAACTCCCAAGTGGCTTTTGTAGCCTAGAGCCGGCAACCTGCAGCAGGGGAACTCCTGTTGCAGGAGGAGGAGGTTCAGGCAGCCCCTCTCAGAGAGCGAGGTGTAGGGAAAGGACAGCGGTGCAGAGGTATTTCACTTTTCTCCCTTGAATGTAATGCATGTAGCTGGAGGTATAGACTGAAGCAAATATGGTGCCCCTGTGGCAGAAAGCCACCTTGGTTTCTCCCCAAAAATCTCTGCCCTGTGACACTGTGATTTAAATCTCTGTGCTGTGACCATTCAATTAGGGTGGGCCCAGCACACAGGGGACCACACCCTCAGCCTGTCTCTTTAGGGAACTGGAGCTGGCTGCATTCCTGAGGGA